TGCACCAAAATAATATCGTTGAAGGTTTTAGTTGAGCTTTAGATTTAGTCTTTCCTCAATGTAAAAGATTATGACTGTTTGACCTGTGACAATTCACTGTTCTGTCCAATTCAATTGCTCTAATATAGGCTAAGTATGGAATAAACTTAGAATAAAGACTCCAGAAGTGTTCTCCCAAATAATCTTTCAGTAATCATTTCTTTTAAGGGGTGGTCTAGAGTGTATTTTTAAGTCATGGTTGTGTTTATAAGATGCAAAGCAATGTGTCCTCTTGCTTCATTTGTAAAACAAATCACATTATTTTTTTTCTATATATCTTACTTTGGTTATATACAGCTACTCAGCTAACATGAAAACATATGTCATCTGACTGAAATATCCATGTACTGTCAAATACCTTCAGTCAGAGTAGCTATTAGCCATATCAGTGTGGGCCTGAATCAGACCTAAAATGAAGAGGACACAGCTGAAGCTTACGCCTGCTCTCTAAAATTAAATCTGACAAGTGTCTTTCATATATATTCAGTTAATAAGCATGCGTAATATGAAACGTTCACATATCTTTTGCTAGTTCATTGTTTGAGATGTAGAACGCAGGGAAAGCGGCTGCATTGAGAGACATTGAATCGCTGCTGAATATTGTGGGTGTTTAATAAATAGGAATTTGGAGCTAAATTGTTAACGGTGCCAAACAACATTTCGTGTTGTTTACATCCTTGTTAGCGCTGGAAACTGTGCATGTAATAGATAAATTTGAACCAATGAAAATACTCACAAGTTATAACTCATCTATTATGTTTGGAGCTGCTTCTTCTTTAAGGATTGTTTTGCCGAATCCAGCTCTGAACTGAGAGAGATTCTGAAAGCTGTCCTTTGTCAAATGCTAGCCATAATTTTTTTATAATTCTCTGGAACATTAATAAAATTAAATTGTAAGCACTTCTCTCTTTGTGTTGTGTCCTTTGAAAGCCCAAATACAGAAACAGAAAAAACTGTGTGGAAATAGCAGCGTTTGGATGGCATTTTGTCTTTCTGTGCTATAACATTACAGTGACCCTTTGCTGCGCTTGGTGAATGTGCATAACCTGCCGGTATTACACCACCCAACCTGGTCCGAGCTGGGATCGAACCGGCAATTCTTTGTATGGGAGTCGGTTGCTCTAACAAGAAGGCTAAAGACCATGGCCTTTAGCGTCTAAAGCACCTTTAGAGGTCAGAGGAGTTACCTGCAAAGAAATTCAGCACATAGAAACCCCACTTCCAGTTAGTTGGAAGTGTTTTTGTTAGAGCAACACAAACAGAACACAGGAGTTTAAATGCGCGGTCATGTGGAAGGCATGCGTGATGAAATTAAGAAGATCCCTTAACACAGAAGTATAATTCTTGTATATTATTAAAGTATAACCAGAAGCGTTTGTGATCTCTTTAGCCCGGATCTCACTCCTCTGACCTCATCTAAAAAGGCCATCGTTTTAGCCTCCTTGTGAGAGCAACCGACTCCCATGTGGAAAGCTGCTGGTTCAATTCGAGCTTGGAGCAGGTTTGATACTGTAGGACTAGCAGGGTTGTGTTGGTGCCGTGACCCGAATGGGAGTGTGGTTTAAGGGGGTGAGTGTAACAGAGGTCAACTAGTGAAGTTCTTTGCAGTTAAACCTCACTCCCCTAAACCCGAATATGTGCTCTAGCGACAGATGCCTTTAGCCTCGTTGGTAGAGCAATGACTACCATGTGGTAAGTTGCTGATTCGATTCCAGCTCGGAGTGCGTTGGGTGGTGTATGACCAGCGGGGTTACATTGGTCAATGGCCCTGCCAGTCCTACACCACCCAACCTGATCCGAGTTGAGATCGAACTGGCAGTTCTTTGTATGAGAGTCAGTTGCTCTAACAAGAAGGCTAAAGACCATGGCCTCTAGCGTCTAAAGCACCTTTAGAGGTCAGAGGAGTGAGGTTTACCAGCAAAGAAATTCAGTACATAGAAACGCCACTTCCAGTTAAGTGTAAGTGTTTTTGCAAGAGCAACACAAACAGAACACAGGAGTATAGATGCAAGACTATGTGCAAGGCATGCACTATAAATTAAGATGATCCCTCAATGCAGAAGTTCAATTCTTGTATATTATTAAAATATAACCTGAAGCGTCTGTGAGTCTCACTAGCCTGGATCTCACTCCTCTGACCTCAACTAATAAAGGCCATGGTCTTTAGCCTCCTTGTTAGAGCAACTGACTCCCATTGGGTGGTGCATGACCAGCGGGGTTACATTGGTCAAAGGCCCTGCCGATCCTACACAACCCAAACTGGTCCGAGCTGGGATCGAACCGGCAATTATTTGTATAGGAGTCGGTTGTTCTAACAAGAAGTCTAAAGACCATGGCCTCTAGCGTCTAAAGCACCTTTAGAGGTCACAGGAGTTACCTGCAAAGAAATTCAGCACATAGAAACCCCACTTCCAGTTAGTTGGAAGTGTTTTTGTCAGAGCAACACAAACAGAACACAGGAGTTTAAATGCACGGTCATGTGCATGGCATGCGCGATGAAATTAAGAAGATCCCTTAACACAGAAGTATAATTCTTGTATATTATTAAAGTATAACCAGAAGCGTTTGTGATCTCTTTAGCCCGGATCTCACTCCTCTGACCTCATCTAAAAAGGCCATGGTTTTAGCCTCCTTGCGAGAGCAACCGACTCCCATGTGGAAAGTTGTCGGTTCGATTTGAGCTTGGAGAAAGTTTGATACTGTAGGACCAGCAGGGTTGCGTTGGTGCCGTGACCCGAATGGGAGTGCGGAACTAGTGAAGTTCTTTCGAATATGTGCTCTAGCGACAGATGCCTTTAGCCTCCTTGGTAGAGCAATGACTACTATGTGGTAAGTTGCCGATTCGATTCTAGCTCGGAGTGCGTTGGGTGGTGTAGGACCAGCGGGGTTACATTGGTCAATGGCCCTGCCGGTCCTACACCACCCAACCTGATCCGAGCTGGGATTGAACTGGCAGTTCTTTGTATGGGAGTCAGTTGCTCTAACAAGAAGGCTAAAGACCATGGCCTCTAGCATCTAAAGCACCTTTAGAGGTCAGAGGAGTGAGATTTACCTGCAAAGAAATTCAGCACATAGAAACCCCACTTCCAGTGAAGTGTAAGTGTTTTTGCCAGAGCAACACAAACAGAACACAGGAGTATAGATGCAAGACTATGTGCAAGGCATGCACTATAAATTAAGATGATCCCTCAATGCAGAAGTTAAATTCTTGTATATTATTAAAATATAACCTGTAGCGTTTGTGAGTCTCACTAGCCTGGATCTCACTCCTCTGACCTCAACTAATAAAGGCCATGGTCTTTAGCCTCCTTGTTAGAGCAACTGACTCCCATTGGGTGGTGCATGACCAGCGGGGTTACATTGGTCAAAGGCCCTGCCGATCCTACACCACCCAAACTGGTCCGAGCTGGGATCGAACCGGCAATTATTTGTATAGGAGTCGGTTGTTCTAACAAGAAGTCTAAAGACCATGGCCTCTAGCGTCTAAAGCACCTTTAGAGGTCAGAGGAGTTACCTGCAAAGAAATTCAGCACATAGAAACCCCACTTCCAGTTAGTTGGAAGTGTTTTTGTCAGAGCAACACAAACAGAACACAGAAGAATAAATGCGCAACTATGTATGTGCAAGGCATGTGCCATGAAGTTAAGAAGATCCTTCAATGCAGAAGTACAATTTAGCCTTTAGAGATAAGGTGAGGAGCTCAGAATTGAGCCACTTCCCCTACATATCTAGAGAAGCTAGTTGAAGAGGCTCGGGCATCTGCTTTAGATGCCTCCAGGACTTCTACCTGGAGAAACGTTTTAGGCTTGTCCCGTTGGGAGATGACCCAGGACATGTTGGAGGGATTAAATCTTTCAGTCAACTTGGTTTTATTACCATGACCATCTGGTAGAAATTGAATTGTAGAAGTAAGTTCTCAACAAGCAGATTTATGTATAAAAAAATGTTGACAGACAGCAAGACGTGGTTCAAAATGAGCACAGTTAAAAGTCCGGGATGGGCTTAGAGGAGACCTGGAAAATGAGTGATGTGCGGAGAAGTGTGTTTAGAGCTCACTTGTCTGAATGTGTGATGGATAGAGTGTGAGAGATGAATGAGAGCAGAGGGGAAGAGGACGCTTAATGAGGTTCTGATCTGAAACGCACGGCCCAACATCAGGTCAAAGGAAAAGTGAGAAAAGAGGGAATTTGTCAAGTCGACAAATGATTGTTCTGGCATCTTATCAGCATGCCAGTCAATTCCAGGCATGGAAACGCCAGCACGAAGGGCACCTTTCTTCCAACAATCAGCATAAAATGAGCAAATTTAGCATTCAGAGGATTACAACAACCATTATAGGAGTAGGGGGTTGGGGGTAATGCCTCACTGTTTTATAATTCATCACACTGCACATTAAACATTTGATATTTTATGTCCATCTCAGAATTTGTTTTAATTAATTCTATTTTGATCTAAGGCATAAAACGGAAACTAATAATTGCATTCCATGTGACTGCAGTAATTTGTCCATTTAGAACAGCAAGCGCCTTCCACTTTTGCGATGGTAATTGTGTCACCTCTTATCATCGATTAGTCATGCAAGCACGATAAAAAAGCCTTTGCGTACTATTCCCATAATCCGCAATTAAACCTGCCGATGAGGCTGTTTGCTCATTTTGCGTTCTTCTCACCAAGGGCTGTGTGCTACATTCCAGACCTCTCAAAGAGCTTTTTTTGCTGATGCCCTTGCCAAAGTCACCGTCACATGTGGAAAACCCAAAATGAAAAGTTTTATCATTCCTTTTCAACTGTCAGCCCCCCTGGTACAGCAAGAGAGCGTTGGGGGCACATTCATGACTAGATTATTGACAGTATAAAGCAGCCTGATTAGAACTTTTATGGCGCACGTGGTTTCACTACTAACTCATTTCTCCTTGACGTTCTATAGCGCTAACTCTTATCCTTTTATCCTCTCCCTTTAGATAATGAGCTCCTCTATCGTACCCGTGAAGGTGACGTGGTTCGCTTCAACATGGAGACAAACGAGAGCACGATCTTGGTGACAAACAGAAAGTTTGTAAGTGTCTTCCTTTACCCCCAATCTTACTCCACTTTAAAACTCTAAAGGTGTATAAATAAATCAATGGCTTAGTAAACTTTTTCTGCTTTTAAAAGGGGTTTGGTTATGCTATTTACTCTTTCAACTTATTTAGTGTGCGATGTTGCTGTTTAAACATGAAAAAGAAGAAGTTACAAAGCACAAAGTCACTCCAAAGGGAGTTTTTCCCCACATAAGTAAGCACTGTTTATAACCCCCATCAAACACCTTGATTGAAGTTTTCTTTCGGGAGAGTAAAAGTCACAGTATCCCAAATTTCAAACATTCCCAACCCATATTCCCAAGTTATGCCCACACGGGCAAGGCCTAGTTTAGTTAAGTCTAACAGCAGTTCATAACTATTTTATATCAGTGGCTGATTTGCTTGTGTTAAGCAAGCTGCTGTATTTGGAAAGTGTCCCTACAGAAAAATCCAGCTTAAACCAGCCCAGACATGTAGATGCACCATCCAAATAAAGTGTGAGCGAATATGCTTGTTTCATTGACCTTTAACATGAAATTACTGAATATAAACATAGAAAGCTGAGGGGGAAAAAAGACTCATTTTAGTAGAACATTTCAGTTGTTTGCATCTGAACTTTTTTTTACAAATGTGTCACATTAGTAAAGATAAATGTGTTATAACTGTCTCGTTGCATCCATGCTGAGAGACGTTACATTGCTCTGCAGTATAAATGACTCCACCGCCTCACACAGCACTCACCGGACCGACAGTTCTATTGTTATTAATAGCGCTGAAAACGTCCATCATTAGAGCAATGTTCTGTGTAGCTCGTTAACAGCCTCAGATCGTTAAAAGTGGGCCTGGCGGGATGAAAAACAGTGGAGGAGAGGACACCGAACATGATGTTTGTTGAGAATCAAAGAGTGGCAGCTCTGATTAATGCCACGCTCTTCTCCTGTCTGCACGCTGCAATCTGTCACAGTCATTTAAGAAATATGGTAATGAAACTACGCTCGCAGAAATGTACCTCATGTACCTTTTTTTTCTCTCTCTGTTCTTTTCACAGGAAATGTACAAAGCCAGCAAATATGAAGTTTCCCCAGATATGAAACTCGTTCTGCTGGCCTACAACGTGCAGCTGGTGAGGCCTGTGTTTATTTGGATGTTGTATATGTGTGTGCTGAGACGAAAGTAATCATGGGATGATGTGAAAGGGCTGGTCACACTTCACTGCCTCTCCAGAAGCAAATACACCCCGCTGAAGTGACAGAAAAGCACACACACACACACACACACACACTCGCGCCTAGTGACAGCATGAGATGGAGAAGGAGAGAAGCTGTTTTCACACTTGGTTTGATTGGTTGGTCCAAACTCAACTTCTGTTCCACACTCTCACCTATTCAGACTGTATTATACTGGATGGTTCTGAACCGCAGGGCGTCAGCATTATTGGGGGAATTAGCTACAGATGTTCCTTGCTAGGTAACAATTCAAAAGCAGATTGCTCTAAATATGTTTAAAGAAAAACAGAAAATATGAGGTGGTTTTAAGTTGTAATTTGCAGGGTTAAGGCACATGCACACCGGGATACTTTTTGCTGGCATTTTAGGTCGACATTTAACGCATAGACTAAATAAAGGGTGCCAATGTTTGCACAACAACGCGCAAAATGCCAGGCGTAAAAAAGCGTCACTTTTAAAGAAATGCCTTATGCTCTTCGTTTTTTTGTTTCGACGTGCCACGTCTGTGTTACAAGCGGGTGTCAGAAGCTTAAGCTTGTGTAGCGTCCTCTAACATCAAGAAGTGATTTTTCATACCCTTTTGCTGGACGCCAGTGAAAAATCGCTTGGTTTTGAATGCGGAAAAAGTCTCGAAAAATGCTGGCGATAAACACAACGCAAAAGCGACCCGATGTGTACGAGCCTTTATAGATTAATATCATAAATAAGGTAAAATATAAGGGACATACTAAACTCCGTGGACCCGGTACCGGGTCTGTGACGTCATCGACTTTCCCTTTCAGATTTAAAGGGCTAGCGTTGCACCAGACCCCCATAAGTGGTGTCGTTTGAAAGTGTAGAATCTATATTTTATGCACATATACATCACTTTGGTTGTTATTTTACTGTATAAAAGTTATTTACACTTAAAAACACAGTAATTTGGATACCCGAGCTAGGTATTTTACATTGGTTCATTTTCATATTTTTTTATATGACACATGTACAAGTTATAGCTCAAATGAAAGCTCTTGCCGGTGCTCATACAGTTCTAGCATTCTTTTTACTGAATTATATTCATATGCCAAACAGTTGTTGAATGAATTGTGGTGTTTCCATGGCGCAGAAATGTAAACAATACATTCATGATCAATAAGCAGCCCCAGATAGCACAGACAGCTGTCATCTCTTACCTTATGCTGTGTGCTTCAGGGCCATTCTCCTCTGTTTTTGAGGTGATGTGCATAAGTAATCCTTTTATATGTCTGACGTGGTCCAAACACAGTAAATTATGTTTGATCAAACAAAAGAATAGTGAAATATGAAAACAAGGATCGGTCTCTGTGGCTTGTATAGCACCTTTCATCAGGTGGAATACTATAACTTTTGCATAGATTATGGCAGAGATATTTTTCTTTTTCCTATGATTACAGACATGTACAGGAACCACTAAAATTAATTACAGCACCCTAGACCACACAGAAAACCTAAAAGGTACACTTTCAAATTTGAGTTCATATAAAAAAAGTGCTTCTTTTTTTAGGTGTTTATTATAACACCGGCAACATATACAGTTATTTTAAACACTTTCAATAGTGTTTTATGAAAATTCAAAAGGTTTTCTTTAAAATGATTCCAAATTTTAGCATTTACACCTCTGCATGTGGATTTGGGAAGCTTTTAAATCTGGGTAGGCAAAATCCAGGCGGAAATCCCCAAATAGCAGCAGAGTTTAAGTGGTTAAACTATATAGTATTTCATCAGATAACAATTTTTAAAAAAGTAAAGCAAAGAAATTTTTAACAAATCAGTCATTGTCGAAAGGAAAATTTGCACTTATTTTTTTTTAATTCTCAGATTCTGCTGGTTGTTGCATTTCCTGATATGTCCTTGCCAATCTTAAGCCAATTGTAATTGTTTTGGTTCAATTTGGAATTTCCCCAACCGGCGTGCAGGAATTTCACTTGTTACTAAGCCACACTTACATGCTATTTCAGACTAAATATTCAGAGTAGCCATAAACAATATCGGGAGCGCGTCACAGGCTGTCATTGTTCAGAAATGACCCAATGTTAATATAAAAGCAACTTCAGCTCAGCAAGCAGGCTAGGCGGAATAGCGTTATTTACTGATGTTTTGTTGTTAAACTGAATATAAATCTACATCATCGATGCTGTAAAAGCTCCTTTATGAAACTAAAAATAGTCGCATCTAGCTTCCACCAGGAGATTTCAGTAGCTGAACAACACGTATGTGCATAGAACCCATTCATAACACAACACACTCTACATCAGCTCTGTGTGACTAATTTAGTTTTAAAACAGAACACTACCTCTCTAACAGAAATACTTCAGGTGTGGTGTCACCCTTCCTCCAGCGTGCAAAAGTAACTCCAATACTGATTCAGGAGTTTAAAAAGTTTCAATTCAGCATTTAATTTTGCAGCAACTGTGACAGTCTCGCGTGCACATGACGCTCATCTATGCGTGCACGCTCGGCAGGCATGGACATGCTAATGGCGGATATGCATGAACAGAGACACGCAAAAGCCCAAATCTGAATTTGTTTACTACACATTGGTTACATTAATTATTAACCTATCTTGGCACTCAGCCAAAACTCGTTACCCGAGAACAAGTAATAGATTCAAAAGACCAAAGTCGGGGAATATGTCGTTAGATATAGATAATATGAATGAAATATCACGCTTAACAAATATAGTGAGATTAGATCCAGCAGTCCAACAAGCCCAGGTCTCATCTGGCTATAGACAAGGTGCAGTGCATGCCAGAGAGTGTGTGTGTGGTCACTAGATGTGCTTTTCAGTCATTTTGGTGTGGACGGAGAGCTGTTCAGAAACGCTGGGTGCAATGCTAGTCTGGACGCGGATCGTTTTCATTCTAAAACGCCGTTTTAAAACTTAGGCCATGTCCACACTAAAATTTTTGTCTCTTTTTTGCCCTTCCGTCCACACTGAGACGCGTTTTTAGGAAACAAAACGTATCTTTTTGAAAACGCTCTCCAAAGTGGATAAATTTGAAAACGCCGTTTTCGTGTCGTAGTGTAGACTGTGAAAACGGAGTCTTTAGAAAACGATGACGCGTTTTTTTGTCATGTGACACAGTCATGTTACTAATTCGTTTACTTTAATTTCGTTGTGTTTATGATTTTAGCGATGTCGTCCTTACTGTGAGGGTAAGCAGCGTCATCAGCAAGATACCGTTCTTTAAAGCGGGCCTGTCACGTTAGCAAGATCAAACAGGAACAAAAAGGTGCAGATCCAAGTGCAGTTTTATTTACAATGTGCATCAAACAGAAAAACAAGGTGTCCAAAGTGCAAAGTACAAATAAACAATAAAACAAGAAACACAAAACAGAGACAGGGCTCAGGAATCAGAAACTCTAAACTTACAGGAATACGGAGACAAGATGGACAAACGACGCAGTGACAAACAGAGGTGAAATGGTTGTATAAATAGTCCAGGAAATTAACAGGAAACAAGAACAGCTGTGAGCCAATCAGTGTACGTGGACCGGGTGTAATGCGCATGGTATGTATGAACTTGTAGTTATTTGGGCGCTGTAGTCAATTCTCAGAGACTGTGAACTACAGCGCACTCCGGTGGTCACTGACCGTCATGACAGGTATATCTGCGTATTTGTTTTGGCACGTCTCCCAGTCTACATTTTCACTCTCTTTTGCAACTTTGTATTCATATGTTACTCGAAGCAGCAACTCTAATTTATTGTCAGTGCATTTAAAAAAACTCTTTGCTTTTCCTTGACATTTTGCCACAATGTTTCAAAGAGCCGGAAAGAAAATAAACGTCAGGCGGAAATGACGCGTGCAGAGGCGTCTTACGTTTCATGCATGCGCAGTACAGGTTGAAAGCATTTGTAGTCGTTTCAGTGTGGATGACAAAATTTAAAAAAACAAATAGAAACGATGTGAAGCGTTTTTAGAGGAAAACTCCGTTTTCAAATTTTTCCGGATTAGTGTAGACATGGCCTAAAACGCAGTAGTGTAAATGGTGCCTAATATTCAAATAGACTGGTTGCCTAAACTGCTCAATCATCCTAAAAGAATGGCAAATTTAGCCAAGCCTGTGCATCCTGCTAATTTCAGTGATTAGATGATTGAAAGATCTTCATGCTGTCGCACCAAAGCGGCTTTGTACAGTCAGATTCGCCTATTAATCAAATAAATAATGAACAATTCTTGTGGTCTTGTCTCATGAAATTCCATAACAGTTCTCAGGGTCTGATAATCTGGAGAAATTTAGCCATCTTTACAATTCTGTCAACTGAAAAGTTCTTTGGGGAACCAAAAATGGCACTCCTGCATGAAGTCTATTTTGGAAGCTTCGTTTTCCAGAGATAAAGCTAAATTCAGGAAACGTCTTCCACAACAAACCAACCTGTCCTCACACAGGCTTGATTCTGCATCTTAAGCGTGAAAGTGAAAGTAAAATCTGAAAGCACAAAAGACTAAAGGACGCTTGAGCGGGACAGAGCAGGTGATGAGATAGTTTGATCAGGGTAGCTGTCGTACAGAGACGGAGGAGAAGATGTCATGAGCGCTGGGACAGTGACACCATAGCACTTCACACACACACACACACACACACATACACACATGACAAGAAAGAAGAGTGTGAGTGCTGCCTCTAGTTTGTTATTCAGTGCCCGTCCCAACACTACCTTGATGGATGACAACCTCGTCCCCCAGCTGTCATTGCACACACACACACACATGCGCACACACACACTCATAACGGCACTCGTTTTCAGACTCTGTCACAGTGCTGCTTGCCCTTCACAAAGCAGCTCCATCCCTGTGCATCTGGAAGACAGAGGCTGGTGCTGAGTACAGGTGTTGAATGTTAATCTTTGACAGTATTAACATGTGTGTCAGCAGTGAGCATATGCTGCGGTCTGCCCTCTGCTTCACGGACAGCTGTTGACACCATCCTCAGAGTCGTATAACTGCGCTCCTGCTTTCTGGTATTGAATGAGGCATACAATTATTAGTAAATGCGATCAGCCTTTTAAATCTGATTGGATGAGAAGGATTACATTTTTTTTTTTTTTTTATATATTTTTGTATTTTAAATTAATTTAATTAATCAATTGTTTTATTTTATTTTTAGTTTACTTGTATAATTTTAAAAATTTGTTTATTTTTACTGTATTGTTTCATTTTCATGAATTCTGTTTTTAAAGATTTTTTGTCAATTTTAATAGTTTTATTTTATTTTTGTATTTAATTTAATTTGCTAATTTTTAATTATATTTTTATTCATATGGTTTTGTTTTTATTAACTGAAAATTACTTTTTATTTTTATTTCATTTTATTTGTATATTTTTTATTTGAAAAATCACATTCTTATTTTTCAGATATATATATATATATATATATATATATATATATATATATATATATATATATATATATACATTATCAACTTTAATAGTTTTATTTTATTTTACTATTTTTATTTATTTATTTTTTAATTCATTTCTTTAATTGTATTATTATATTTATGTTATTTTTTTTTTATTTTGATTTTTATATTATTTGTATACGTTTTTATTTATTTTATTATTTATTATATTTTATGTTTTGTATTGTTTTATTTTTCATTACTTATATTTGTTTATATTTTTACCAATTTTAATAGTTTTATTTTGCAATTTTTTTTGTATTTATTTTTTTTATTTTTATTCATTTATTTACTTTGATATTATTTTATTAATATTGTTTTGTTTTTATTTATTTACATTTTGTTTTAGTTTTTCTTTTTATTTGAATGTTTATTTATATATTTTGTTTTTGTTTTATTATTTTCTATTTTTCATTTGGAATTTTTTGTATTTTTATCAATTTTAATAGCTTTATTTTATTTTATTTTATTTTGTTCTATTTTATTATTTGATTTTTTTATATGTTTATTAATTTATTTAATATTAGCATTATTTTATCCATGTTGTTTTGTTTTTGTATGAATTTTGCTTGATTTTTCTCAATTTTAACAGTTTTAATACTTTTTAGTAATCAAAAAGCATGTCCACAAAAAATAATAAAGCATAATTAATTTAACTACAATATAAAGAACAAAGAATAAAACTTAAAAATTTAAAAATTTAAAACTTAAAAACTTTACAAATTAAAGAAAAACCTTTAAGATGTCTTATAAAAGTTGTTTTGCATATTCTCAAGAAATATTCAGCAATGGATGACAAGACTTTAACCAATAATTCAATTACATGGCCACTGTGAAGTGTACTGCTATATATTTTAATATTAAATTGTGGTAATCATATTAATATGTTTGACTGCACAGCAGTTGAAGAGTTGTACAGAGATGCACTATGCAAGGGATTTAGCAATGGTTATTTATTTAATTATTTCAAATATTTATCCCCTAATAAAATATTTACTATACATTAATATACATAAATATGCCATAATAAACTAATAATCATACCATGTATTTGGATATTATAAATGGTTAATTACAAATATAAAAATTAATTATTTTAATTAACTCCTTATAAATCTTAAAACCACATTTTATTTGACTATTTAGGGAAAATAATATTCAATATATGAAATATATTAATTACATAAAATGTAATGTAAAACTGCTGATTTTGTGCAGTTTACTCTGTTTTGATTTCATGTTAAATTTAATGTGTTAAATTTAAATGAATTTGTAAAATAAATAAATAAATAAATTTTTTTTAATATTAAATTGCATTTTATTATTTTTTTTCAACCAGAACTAATGTCATACAAATGCTAGTTTGTGTTTATTTTATATATTTATTATAAAGAAAATAACAAATAACCTGACATTTAGGTTTTTGTAAGAATTTACTTATTTTTTTATTTACTTACTATTATTTTTTAATGTCTTCTTCTTCTTCTTCTTCTTCTTCTTATTATTATTATTATTATTCTTATTATTATTATTATTATTATTATTATTTTCCTTTGTTGTGGCAGCCTGACATTTTTTACTTCCCTTTTATTATGCACATATTCTACTTATTCTGTTTTATACAGTTCATATTAGACTTTGTTGATGGCGTTTTATACAAGAAATCAATACTTAAATATGACTTCTATATGACTAGCTATTGTCTGCTGAAAACGTGATCTTCTACCATTGTATTGTAATGCCGTTAACTGTATTATCTACAAATAAAACAATTGGTGTAATCTCTTTTCTTCTGTGTTAAAAGCAGAAATGTGTTTAACTGTGATTTTGTCCGTGTTCTCCTTAAATTGTGGCTAAAATCATGTCCTAACTGCGGTAAAAACCCTGTAATGCACAGCCTCTCAAACTTTATAGCTAGTAATAGCTTTGTTGGTGCTCGTAACTGCTGTTCTCCTACAATTTAATTTCTCTGTGTTTGTCTCTGTGTTGTTCAGGTTTACGAGCACTCCTTCACCGCGGACTACATCATTTGCAGCCTGGAAACTCCGTAAGTTTGCTGAGCTCATATAACAGTCACATTCGTTTACAAAGTTCATTTGTCATTATACTAGCAAGGAAAAAAAACAGCAATGCAGCATTTTTCTGCTCACGTCAAATCAATTCAGAGAACCATCCCATACCGCTATCCTATGTTCCTATCAACATATCTGTCCTGTGATTAACCCACAGACATACCATCAGAATATTTCGCCCTCCTGTGAATCTTTTTCAGATATTTCCCAAATAATGTTTAACAGAGCAAGGAATTTTTCACAGTATTTCCTATAATATTTTTTTATTCTGGAGAAAGTCTTATTTGTTGTATTTCGGCTAGAATAAAAGAAGTGTTTTATTTTTTTAAACCATTTTAAAGATGATATTATTAGCCCCCTTGAGCAGTATTTGCTTTGATTGTCTACTGAACAAAACATTGTTATGCAATGATTTGCCTAATTACCACAACTAGCCTAATTAACCTAGTTAAGCCTTTAAAGTGCACTTTAAGCTGAATACTACGCTTAAAAAAAACCTCATTGGATTAACTCGATTTAATTGAGGGCATGATATATATAACTGAGTTGGTCCAACATGATTTTATCAACAGACAGACATGAAGGAGGCAGTTCTCATGTAACATTTGTGAGAAATGCTAGAGTAATCCCAATGATTATTTGATGTATTTGTTGTGAAGTTAATTCTGGCCTTTCTGCAACGATGAGTCACGCACAATGCAGTTACAAAGTTCACGCACACTCACAGTCACACACAAACACACACAGCGTATAACACATACAGCTCGCGTGTTTAACCTTGCGCTATTTTTGCACGGCAAATGTAACAGGATACAGGTTAATATCCACTGTTGTATGGATATCTGTTATGTTAATGTACAAAATAAATCTGATTTCTTTTGTAATTGTACTGACACGGCTGTGGTGATAAGTAAAGCTGAAATAAATCGCTGTATTCATTACAAACACTGATTTACACGTAAAGCAAAACCGCGTTAATATGCTCATGTGTTTGCCACACAACATCCCTTGACCGTAGTCCATGTTCACTCACCATGAACTTTATTTACTGCATATACTCCACAACACGAATTTACCGCACTCACCACAACAACGCCTTTCCCCACGTCATTTCCGGTGGTACATTCCTTTTCCGTAAAGAATCTGTCAGTGTAAATTTGTTTCGGGACTGATAAAAGTGTTTTGCGTCTTGGTAACTTGCTTTTTTAATGTAAAATTGTTTCGTCCATGGTAAAATCGTTTTTTTCCTATATAATGGTGTATTATGATAGGTAAAAATGTTTTCCAAAATGTAAATTTGTCTTGAGCTTCATAAAAACGTTTCACGCTTTGTAATGTTGTTTTGCATTTTTCAGCACGCGTACAAAACACATTTATTAAGATAACAGATGAACAGATATATTTATTCCAATAATATTTTAGTCACCAAAACTGATTTAGAAATTGAAAGATAATACAATTAAATTCAAGCAAAATATTGCAAAAAATAAATAAATGAATAAATAAATAAATAAAAATACAACCTACAACATTTCAGCAAAATTTTGTATTATTATTATTTTTTTTTTATTTTATTTTTTTTTGTTTCTCTTGATTTATTTATTTATTTATTTTTTATTTTTTGATGAATATTTGGGTTGACTTTATTGTTAATGGTACCTGAACTAAAATTTATTAAATTAAACTGCTTGTCTGTTGGAGCCTACAAGTCCTTTGTCTTTAAATTCAAAAATCATTCATTTACAGGTCTGAAAGAATAAATAATTTTACTACATTAAAGTATTCGTTTAACCTGTTGCTTTATCTTTAAGTTCAAGTAACTTGTTCCGTGTGTTAAAAGCAAGTGATTTGCATGGCCTTAAACATTTAACAAAGGTAACAAAAATGTATAGACAACACATCGATTTACAAGCATGCAAATACATATGAGAGAGAGGGAGAGTGTGGGTGAGACAAAAATGGACAGGGTCGAAAATCCCCCATGAGGAGAAAGATAGAGAGTTGCAAATACAACATCAATAACCTAAAACCAATCGTCAAAGAAAACTGAATCAACTTGCTTTAACAACGGACAGGATAAACTGGCAACTATCTAATAACTAAATCAAACTCGCGTAGTTCTTTGTATGTGGCTTGCGCAGTGTGTGTGCTGGCCGGCAAGTTTCTTGATGAGCCGTTGCTGGTTCTTCTCCATTCTGATCGGCTGATCAACATTCCAGCAAGGCTATAAGTTGAAATTGTCCAGAATAGAGACTTGGCTTGATGATGAAAGTCTCTGAGGAGTTAGAAAGGTCTAAGCCTGGCCCCAACTTGAGTGAGGCCTAAAGCCTGGGTCACAATTTTTGTATTTAATATTTTTCTATAACATAAATTTTAGTTGTACTAGTTTTTACACCATTATCCTAAGTTATTTTGTTAGATAAGCTCCAGATTTTAAAGAACCAAAGCAAGGCTGCGGTGGGAAGAAACCCGGAAGTATAGGTCCAGCACTGTAAACATTGCAGTAACATGCTGTACACTACAAACCTCCAGCTGTTGCAGAGATTTCTAAATGCAGAAATGGTGTAACCATCACTTTAATATTATTCAATAATTTTATTTTAAACAATTAAAAGCAATTTCAAGAGTTCACACTTAGATATTGCTTGACAGCTGTAAGCAGGTTTGGCATGCTGTCCCGGGAGAGAACCCTGAGCTCGGAGATAGTTGAGCCCAGGGCTCCCGCCAGGTCCATAGAGCATGTGAGGGGAGTACGAGATCAGGTGGTTCTCGAGAGCTCCCCTTTTTGTAAAGGAGAAAAGGAGGAGAAAGGTGTGGATGGGGGGGTTTCTTTGGAAAACGAAGTTAAGGGAGTAATGTCTAGCTAGGCTACTTATAGTGGGTTAGGATAGATCTGATTGGCTAACTAATGAGTGTAGATAGGTGGCCAGCTGCTGTCAGTTATATCACGTGCTCCTCTCGAAATTAGTTTAAAAACTTCACTTAGCATCAAACAAGATCACAGTGATACACTTAAGTGTCCTCCTAGGCTTCAGCTCATGGCACTAGTTAAACACCGTGAGGACGCTTTCCTGCTTCAGCCTATGTAACCCGGTGAGTGATAAAACACTGCAGTCCTCTGCAACACACCCTCGTGTTGTCTGTAATAGTGTTGTCCTGGTACTGAAGTTTTAAACCCGGCTATTTCCCGCTAACATAGAAGCGCCACTGAGCGCGGATGACTCGACTGATCTTCACGGCTTCGCGCTTCAGTCTCCGTTTATCTGTGTTTGGTTTGCGCTCAGTTTACTGCTCTTCACCCAGTGCAAGCACAGATACACGGACTGGAGCGCGAAGCAGCCGTCAAGATCAGTCGAGTCATCAAGCCGATCGCTCGGCTCGTCTGTGTTTGTGCCAATGACTGTAAAAAATATGGACGACGCGACAGCCCCTTTTCCCATTGAACGCCTTGAGGGCAAAACGCCTGCTTGACGGGCACAAACTGTCGCAAAAGACTGCTGAAATTGGAGCCTTGACATGCGCAGAAGGACTGTCTGATGGAGCCAGAGGAGGAGTCGCGAAAATGAGTCGAGCTTCCAACCAAACGCTTTATGTAAAATCAACCACGCCCCCCAAACTTCTCAGCATGCGTTTGCTGTCATATCAACACAAATGGATGTAATAACGTTAACAAATATGAGGTTTTTTTTATATTCAATGGCGCCAGCTCCAGGCCGCAGCGCATAACCTACTCGCGGCGTCGCGGGCTGATTCCGCCTCGCATGCGGCAGCGCCGGCTCGCTCGGCCACCGCATCTGGCTCGATTAACTCGGGCTGGAATCGGGCAGTGAGTCCAGGCATCCGGAGTAGGTCCAGCAGAGGTAGTCAGTCTGAGCTCTGAGGGGTAAGTCTCCGACAGGCGAGAATCTAGCCGAACTGGTCCGAGTGTATTTTGTCATCTGGGTGGCTAGGCGTGTATCAGCAAACTAATAAAGCCCGAAAAAAGCCCTGACCTTAGCGAATAAACAGTGTTCCACCAGGATCATGTATGTCAGAAACTATAGTTTACTGCTGAACTCATTTTGTCATGGTAAAATAACACAGAAATCGAATAATAACACTTCAGTCTCCTGCCGAAGCTCAGACGCGCTGCTTTGAGAAACTGTCAATCACAGCTGTCATTCACGATGACACGCCCAGCATTAAATTACTGCTAAAAACAAACTGTTTACAAAAATGAAGATCTGCACCTATTTCAGCACAATAACCAGTGCCTTAATCGACCAGAACCATCTTTCGGGACATTTTATTGCAAGTGTAATAATTTTTTTTATTTGGGCTCAAGTCTCCTTCATTAACACGGAGGAGGCGGGCTTTATGACTTGTACTGCAGCCAGCCCCCAGGGGGCGATCTAACGGCCGAGACCTTCACTCAAACGCAGGCTTGTGGCACACTTGGTTTGTGCTCAGTAAACAGCGGTGGGTGAACTGATGACCTTCTTGGCCAATCGCAAGAATTTCTGTTGAACACGTGAACACAATAGCAAATCAGCGCTGTTTCAAGAAAGCCATCAACATTGCCTTAAATGTTAACGCGAAATTGCCGGTCTTTCTTTTAATTTAGTATCTTGACAAGTCTAATATAGTGAAAGAATCAGTTCATTAACTGAAGTTTGATAAATGGCATCTAAAACGTGTGTTTGGGAAAGAAAACGTTAGCTAACTACTGCCATTTCCTTTAATTTAGCTGAAAATGAGCTCTGATATCCCTTTTTACATTCACCATTCATTCAGAACGGACCTTCGGGTCACCTGGAAGGTGGAGAAATTATAAATTTGTGTCACTTTATCTTCGCTGATAAGATATATAGCCAGTTACACAACATTCCTATGTAACTCCCAATGATACTTCTGAGTTTCTTCCCACTGCAGCCTCGATTTCGCTTTTAAAAATGGCGGCCGCGTGAAATCAGTCTATACCGACTAATCTAATGTATATGCACAAATGTAATATTTTATATTTCCTATTAAAAATAGGAATTTAAAAGATAGATTTGTGAGGGGTGTACGCATATATGCTGAGCTCTGTAAATTGGGAGAAAAGCATATAATTATTTGGGGGGCTAATAATTCAGGGGTGCTAATAATTCTGACTTCAGCTGTCACCTGTAATTTTTTCGGAGCTGCAGTGCCCAGTGGCAGCAGGATAAAGCATCTATATTTATGAGCTCTGTCAGACGGAACAGATGCTGACACAGCACTGGAGCCGCTGCCCTGGCTGGATTTAACAGCACACTGGGATATACTATCACTGTTAGATTTCCGCTGTCGGAATTCCCTCTTGGTGCTTTATTCGCTCGTGAGTTGTGTTGGGCAGTGTTGTACACGAGATAAAATCAATATCTGGAATTCTACAGAGAGCCTGCAGAGAGGCGCATGCAGTATATGAAGGAGATGTTTACTAATGGTGTTTGCCTATTTTTTATTTATATTGATTCATACAATCATTTTCTTTTCGGATTAGTCAATTTATTAGTCTGGGTTTGCCACAGCGGAATGAACCGCCAGCTTATGCAGCACATGTTTTACGCAGCGGATGCCCTTCAAGCTGCAACCCATCTCGGGCAAACACCCATACACACTTGATCACACACATACACTACGGCCAATTTAGCTTACCTTATTACCTTATTGATTTATAATTATCTAATAATTAACTATAATTTTATTGATAATAAACTTCTAACAATTACATGGAAATATAAATACAACAGAGCAAAAATTAAAGTAAAATAAACACTTTAGGGCTTTTTGGGGACTCTAACAGTATTCAAATACAGAAATTGAACAATCAAATGGAAAATAACTTGGTGATTATTGTATGAATAATTAAAAAATTGCTATATATTTATCTTTTAATCTTTAATAAATAATCTAATCCTGCAATGTGACTATTGCGGATACACGCATTGCAATATCAATGCTCAAACAATATATTGTTCAGCCCTATCAATTATTAAATCAAATGATGATAGTTTTGCTTATGTTATATATTTGATATTAGGGAATAATAAAGGCATGTGGGAATACAGTACGATCACTGTGAGATTCCCTGCCGCAAGAATGCCCTGGCGGTGCTTTATTTGCTGTGCTGTTGTCGGGCTGTGTAGTACACCAAGATGAAATCAATACCCGCTGGCACACACACTCCGCTGCACCACATGTGGAGGAAGTGTTGCTCTGTTAGTCGTCTGAAGGCTAGAATGTTTGATTGATTGCCTCTCTGGGTCAGGATAGTCAACTAGTGCATTTGTTATTCAACAATCAATTAGTCGATTAGTAATGTCTTTGCTTGTCTTTCGCAGGGAAACGTGGATCCTGAACCCTCCTGAAGTCAGAAATGCCCATCTGCAGTATGCTGGATGGGGACCACGAGGCCAGCAGCTGGTAAAGACCCCATTTCCTTTAAAACGCATGCTAAAAAACAAAAGCAGCATTTCTATTCCTATTCTTTCTAAAATGTCAAGTTTGTGCAAAGTTTCTTCTTCTAAATTGATAGTGTTTTTATTAGCCAGATGACCCAGTGCAGTGTGATTGAACAAACACCTTAATTAATTAATGAATTTAATTATTTACTTGTTTGTTTTATTTATTTATTTATTTATTTATAGTTTTTTTATTTATTTAGTTAGTTATCTGTTTGTTTGTTTTATTTTATCTTATTTTATTTTATTTTATTTTTTTATTATATTTTATTTTATTTAGTTAGTTGTTTGTTTTATTTGTTTATTATTATTATTATTATTATTATTATTATTATTATTATTATTATTATTATTATTATTATTACTATTATTATCATTGTTAGTTAGTTAGTTAGTTAGTTAGTTAGTTAGTTAGTTAGTTAGTTAGTTAGTTAGTTAGTTAGTTATGTTTGTTTGTTTATTTCATTTTATTTATTTATGTGTTTGTTTGTTTGATTGATTGTTTCTTTGCTTTATTATTATTATTATTATTATTATTATTATTATTATTATTATTATTTAGTTAGTTAGTTGGTTTGTTATGTGTTTGTTTGTTTGTTTGTTTGTTTGTTTGTTATTTTATGTATTTATTTATGTGTTGGTTTATAATATATTTATTTATTTTATTCTTTGGTTTGTTATCTGTTTTTTTTTTGTTTATTTACTTATTTATTGTTTTGTTTGTTTATTTTTTTATTTTGTCTATTTATTTGTTACTTTATTTATTGGTTTATTTATTCATTTTCTTCATTTATTTATTTATTTATTTATTTATGATTTTTATGTTGTGTTGTACTGTGATTGACATGATTTAGAGGAATAAAACCTAAAAAGAAACATTTATTCAAAAGTTATATGAGGTATATTTGACACATTTTTCACTAAATTTTGACCTTTTTCATATAGTGAACCATAAATTATTCATAGTGTTATCACGATACTGGAATTTGATACCAATCGGTACTGACATTTTAAAAACTTATAAACAGACCAGCTGATCGTCGTGGCTTTAAAATGATCCATTATCCCTGTATCTGTAGCTACCGATTGGTATCGAATTCAGGTATCTGGACAACACTAATAGATTACAGAATTTACAATAACTTTTTTTTTCTTTAGTGTTTATTTTAAAACCTTAACTGCAGAAAAGTATGAGCTTCATGAACTGTTTATTTATTTGGCCAACTTCCTTTAAATCAATATATATATATATATATATATATATATATATATATATATATATATATATATATATATATATATATATTATTTGCTTATTTAAAAGTATGGAGGCTGCTGCTGAGGATGTATTTTTGGCAGCGGACAAATTGAAGCTTCAAGACTGAAATACGTTGGGTTTTCCACCGATGCAACCTGGAGTGCTGAATTATTGCGAAAACTGGCAGTGGGCTAGTTATAGAGATCAAAGTAAAGGCAGACATTTCGACACGGAACACAGCTTTTCAAAGGAGCATGACTTTAGCATGTTTTTCAGATAACTCGTGTGTTTGTACTGTATGTTAGCATGCTTCTTAAATATCTGCAAACATACCATGATGTGTTTATGCTTTAGAAGAGTCAAAAACATATATATACAGCACCTTTAAGAAGATTATTGTGAATATTTTGGTATCAAGTCTCTAAAAGCTAAAATAAAAACAGGAAACTATCAATTGTGCACAAGCTGACTCAGTTTGATTTGCGACTGACAGGCAGCTGCAGGTGAGCGTCCAATTGTGTATTTGTACTTTCCGAACACTGGTTATGCATAACAGTGATGCACCTGCACTCGTAAACAAGCAGATGCATTTCTTAGTTAATTTCTCATCTTGGCAAGGTATTGGTGTCAACACACTCGGTTTGTTTTCAATGAGTGTAAACATGCGCTATGAAAACAAATCAGATTTGTGTCAGAATATCAGATCTGTGCTGTCTGATAGACCTGCTGCTGTCTATTATGGCGTGAATACGCTGTGAAGAAAACCACTCACCCACTCGCTTTAAATGTATTTAAAGTAGACTGTTTTCACAATATTGCTTAGGTCGATTTTTATGAAAATTTGATTTATCATCCGGTTTGTTTCATATATTATTGTGGAGTTAATACTGATATCCAACATCCTATTGTTTGCATACATTTCCACATTTACTTACAGATGAATGGTTTGCAGAACTTTTAACATTGGATAAACACAAAAACAAAAAAACAATCATGATAATCATTAAAGAATTTATTTATTTATTTATTTATTTATTTATTTATTTATTTATTTATTTATTTATTCATGTTTATTTTTATGTTTTTGTTTGTTTATTTATGTGTTTATTTATTTATTAGTTTATTTGTTTATTTATTTATTAGTTTATTTACTTTATTTGTTTATTAATTAATTAATTAATTAATTTATTTATTTATTTGTGTGTTTGTTGTGTTTGTAGTTATTTGTTTGTTTATTTATTTATTAGTTTTATTTATTTATTCATTTGTTTTTATTATTGTTTTTTTTTTTGCATGCTATTCTAAATTTACATACAGATGTATGGTACACAGAGCTATTAACATTGCATATATGAAACAAATAAACGTGATAATTAAGTGTGTGGAAAAAAGTAAATAACATTAAGGACTTAAGATATTACGAGGATATGGTAATAAATAAAATGCCTTAATCTGATGTAATCAAATAATACAGACTTGTTTTTTTTTTTTTTTTTTTTTTTCAGTTGCTAAACTAATTGTTCAGCCCATTCTGTGCTACACAGTCTTCGCTTAAGTTTTGATTTCTTTTTTTCCCCACAAATATATACAGATGGAACTTTGAAGATGGCAATTTTGACATCTTAAGTATTCAAACTCACTATGTGGGTGGATATCTTCATTTAGCTGTTCTTTATACTATTTTTTTTTCCTTTCATGAATAAAAAAAGAGATTGTTTTTCTATCTATTCTTGACTCTATATTAATTTTGCCCTTAATGAAAGATTATATTCTACCTATTTACTCCATTTCTCATTAAATTTCTGTAACCGTAGATTCATTGTTGACCTCTCCATCTTTACTTCTCAGTTACTAATTTGAAGTACTTCGAACTGTAACCATTTCCTTGTAATAAACCTAATATAAGCCAAACTTTCACCAATTTTTTTTTTTTTTTCAGACTTTCTTGTAACAGGATTTGGGAGGCCTAAATATAGAGTTGATAAAGTAAATTGTATGGAGATATGGAATATATTCTCTAAGCACACAGTATCTTGCCAATATACAGTACCTGATTTTTTAAACATATCTAAAATGTATGTATGGTTTGCATCATTAGAGCCACACATTTTTGATTACGTATTACGTCAATAAAACGTGTTCTCCTTCGAATTGCTATTATGTTATTAAAAACTGTTTAAAATATCCTCTTCGCTCACTTTAAATCCTTGAAATGGAGCAAAAAATAACCCACAGCATAAGTAAATCACAAGACTCCACCTCCTATTTCTCTTTTCTCAGAAATAATCTCAGTGGTTTATGGCACGCACAGATGCACAAAACACCGAATTTATGATTCCAAGTGTAAGAGAGCTCGGCTCGTCTTAGAGACTTTGAGTGTGTGATACTAAATAATTAGGACATGCTGTCATTCAGTGCTGTGTCCTAGATGTGCCCATGCCAAACAAGCCATCGCAAATCTTATGATGCATATTTAAATGTACACCGCATAAAACTCTCACCTCAGACAACAACTTGTTTTGAGAATCTCGACTTCCTTCTAATATAGATGAGCTGTCGGTTCGGAACACCTTGAACTGAAATTAACTCGGCTCATCATATATTCATGGGCTGCACTTTTCCATTGGCCTGGCAGAAGAATGATTCAGAATATTCGTTTATTTGTTTGCTCCGGCTTTTATAGTGCGTATCTGAAAGGAATTTCTCTCCATTGAGGGCCAAACATTTCATAGAGTAAAATGGAAATCGAATCACAGATGTTTATGGAGACTGCTTTCTTTCATAATATTCACACTGCGTCCCTGTTATTATTTTTAAAGTTACCTTGAGACTTTCACACTCTCATACAGCTGCCTTTTATAGTTTTGAACAACATTAGAACTCTTTGGGTATTTCTAGCCATTGCATTCCAGCCAAGCAAATGAATTGAGGTTGTGTGTATAAACCCTTTTCGTTATAAAGCCTGGGTTGGGTGTGAGGGTGTGAATTTATGATGATCCGAACAAAACATTTCTTACTATTTTATGTTCTGCCAAATTGGTGGATACATGAGAATTAGTGGCAACTCTATGAATTTGTACAATTGCATTCCTATTCCTTTAGAATGATTTGTATATATACAGCGGGGAAAAGAAGTGTTGTTTTTCTTAGAAAACATATTTCTAAAGGTTCTGTTGTCTTGAAATTTTCACCAGATGTTGGTAACAACCAAAGAAATCCATATATTCAAAGAAAGCAAATCTAATTAGTTTACAAATGAAGTTATGTGTAATAAAAAAATGAAATATTGAACACATGAAGAACGGGAGGTGTAGAAAGGCAGTGAAAGCCCAGACAGCAGCAGAAATCTCTCAGTAGTTCGTCAGCAACCCTCTGCCCTTCGTCGTTGTAAATGAAAATTAGCTGCTTCAGTCCAACATCTACATTACCAGGATGATGAAGATGAAACTAGTGAATATTTCAGCAAGACAATGATCCAAAACACCGCCAAGGAAACTCTCAAATACTTTCGGAGAAGGAAAATCTAGCTGTAGAATGGCTCAGCCAATCACCTGACTTGAATCTTCATGGCACAGACAAAAATAAATAAATAAATAAATCAGTCATTTGAAATGAGTTGTTATTATTAAACATATTAAGCAGAAACACTCCTCTATCCATTAAACTAAAATTGGAGAAAAATATAAAATAATTTAAATCTAACA